CAGCACTTGACCCAACGGTCAATAAGGACTACACGGGGGGGGGGTTGCTTTTGTCCTGTTTGTGAACGCAGGTGGCGCGCGTGTTCTACTACCTGTGCGTCATAGCCTTGCAGTACCTGGCGCCACTCGTCCTCTTGCTGAATCTTGTCTTTCTGCTCAAGACACTTGGTATGTGTAAGCACACACAGCGCATATAGACCTACTCTACGTGCTGTGCTGCCTTTTATTGTTACCACCTCCCAGCTCTTCAGTTAAGTATCCCGTGCACGTGACCGCTGCCATTTGTGTGCGATCCACCAACCTTGCTTCAGGCATGCTTAATAGTCTGTGGTTCTAGACTCGTGCAGTTCATGTCAGTGGGTCTTGAACATTTAAGTTTGATTGAACCATTGTCCTTGATTTAGCCAAGCAATGCCGCATTGAGATTGAATAGCACTTTGAATTCAACATTGGCCTCAAACTTTCCTCGTGCACAGGTGGTCACTCCTGGGTAATCCTCCCGGAATCCTTCACTGCTGCCACCCCCGTGGACCCCTCCTCCGTACCTGTGGCTGCAACGACCTTGCCGCCACTTCCCTCATCCGCGTCGTCATCGACGGAGGCCCCGTCATCGGAGAGCTTGGCGGACGATGCCGGTGCGGCAGTCGCCCAGGTGGCGGTGACGATGCAGAGCTTGCGCGCCGTGTTCGCAGCTCCGCTCTACCGGGGCATCCTCTCCTTCCTCACGTGGTGGACATGCGCCTGCTGGTTCACCACCAGCCTCTTCGGACTCATGTACCACCAGTATCTGGTGGCCGCGTGACCGGCCCCAACCGTTTCCCCCCCCCACCCACACATTTCCTCCAACCATCTTTTGCCACTGCCGGGCTGGTGGCGTCCGTATCAGCGTGCACGGTCTCGACTGCCTCGACTGTCCGGACCGGCTGCCTGTGGTGGACATCGAGCTCGTCGTTGTTGAAGTCTTCTGTCTGCTCGTAATGTCTCGTTCTGCCGGTTGTCAGCTGTTGCAGAAGCCTTGCGTTGTTGTAAAATGGGTCAGCCGCAATATTATCACTCGGTTCTACGTGATTTTATTTTTTGTGTCGTCGCCCCTCCACCGCGGCTTGTTGGCCCCCTGTGTTTCCTGCTGATGCTTAACACGTAACGGACTAATGAAGAGCCAAGATGGGAATGTCATGCGCGCGGTCCCCGTCGTGTGATTTGAGACTTGCTTTATCACCCCGGGAAGCGTTCCGTAAGTGTGAACTGCAGCGGTGGTCGTGATGAAGATGGCAGTGATATGCCTGGTATCGATCGGCACAAGCGCGGCACGTGAAGATGAACATGCGCTTGCCGATGCTGAGAACGATGATAACGCGCATGCAGATTTTTCAGGTTGCAAACGCGTGCGGTCATGTAGCCCCCTCCCATCAATGATCATACAGACTCGAAGCCTTGGACGTGCCCGACACTGCAGGTTTTACTGCCGCTATTGGATGAGAGGACGGAAGGACTGATTCACCGTCCCCATTCTCCCGTGTCGTCCTCTCCTCGTAGTCCTCTCCTACACACGGTTGTCAAATATGGAATGCTGTGAATTTGGGGGGAAACGTGTTTCTGTTCATTTCTGCAGCTGAAATGGCAAGATTTGAGTTGCATATTCACAGTGACAAACTTAAAGGTAACATCCCTCCTTTTGCGCGACTACGTGTGTTTATCAGTTCACGCCTATAACCGAGTGTTTCACTTTTAAGTGCAAAGCTGTGTCGCTAAAATCAATGGGGCGGTGGTGATTTAATTTTTGATTCTTGCTTACATTTTTGGTTTCACACTTTGAACATTTCGACTCGCAGTCTGATACCTAGGCACGTTTTCTCTTCATGCATTTTGTTTCCGTGAACACACTTTTCAATACTATTGATTCTGGACTTTAAGAAAACTAGAAAAATAATTTTGACAACACTACCTTCATGCTTCTACACACTGCAGTGCTGCGTGTCTACCAATATTAAGCGTCACTCAAGATGAGTCTTACATTTCAGCAAACTTTCTGCTTGCCTGTGAACGCTGCATCCACGAACATTTTCACGTCAACCACTCGCTTGATACATTGGATGAAGGAACTGTGGCCGTGTCTTTTGATCGACCGACCTGGAGAGTTAGTCGTGAGCCAGTGAGTGGGGACACTTCTAAGTTTTCCCATCCCTGCCCTGGTCTGATGCATGAGCGTGTGTTCCATCTGAACTTTGAGTGCTCGCACTGTGTTCGTAATTAATGGAGCAATATCAAGTCTATGCATGGCCAGTGTTGTGTGCGTTTGAATCAAGATAATTATTTAATTTGTTTTCTGGTCCTTGTTGCTATCGCAGAGGTGAAGGTGTATTCAAAGGACTTTGTACTATCAGACACCGTCCTATTTCCTGCCTGGTATCACTATAGTCAAGAGATCAATGCTACCATGTGGAGCAGGCTTTGCACTTGTGGTGTAAACATGTATCATTTAATCGATTATTATCGATTCCTAACCTCAACGCGTGCATTTTATTCACGTGCGTACGAATCTTAGGTGTTTTTATCTCTTTGTATGTCGGCCAATGGGGTTGACGTCATCCTCGTCAGCCAGTCTTGCCACTGAATTCGCCGCAATGTAAAAAAAACGACTCCTCTCGAATTGAATCGCGGTACATGTTCATTGACTCGCCAGGGTTGGGGGGGGGGGGGGTGAATAATTCCACCCCTCTTTTACTGCACACTAATGTCTCGATGTGACCGAGAACAAGGAGTTGTGATCGAGGTGAGTTCCTGCGCTAAGAAATTTATTTTGCACGTCTGCTTTAGCTCGAAAAACCATTCGCTGTGCCCGCACGGAAGCCGTGGGGTTTGGGACGGCCACTTGAAAGATTTCCCAACGCCGTGTGGGGATTTTCGTGTGACGGGTAGCCATGGAATTGTGCCAGACATCACCCTGCGTCACTTTCTGTAAAGTGTGGAGGCGGGGGGGGGAGACCCCCGTCAAAGAAAGCAAAACATGTGGGCAAACATTCGGCGGACGTTTCCATCTCTCTTGAGTTGGTGGTCTGGACAAGGCTTGAGAGCGTTGTACAACCAAATTGTGGCGGTGACGTGGCACGTACACAAGGCGCGAGTGATTTGGGAGTCGTGCCTTTTTTCTGGGATGTTTTTACGTGCAAGCACACCTTTTGGCGTGGTGTCGACATTTCCCCGCCTGTGTTCCCTTGGCGCGGTAACGTGGAGTGACGATTTTTAGGTGGCGCCGTTAAAGAATCGAAGGCGTTTGTCGGTGTTTGTGTTCGGTCGAGATTGCTCGTGACTGATTGAGCGATTTCCCCCCATTTTGCACACTGCCCAATAGATTGTACGAATGTGCGTCTGGAAGATATCCACGAGCATTTTTTTGTTTTTAAGTGTGTGTGTGTGTCTGCGACGTGATGATAATTGAGTTTAGTTTATTTGATGTTCATTTGCCTGCATGGTTTTTAAAATATATGTTTTTGATTTCCTTTGGTGCCAAACATGACTTTTTCTTCTGCCTCCTTTGTTGTACGTTGTGTTTTCTAAACAACTCGACTTGTTTTTAAATAGCACTTTGTGGCCAATGAAGGAGAACGCATGTATATCCAGTCTATTTAATAGGTTTACGTTTCATAGCACGTAAGCAGAGTGGCCAGAGAGAAAGATTTTACATTTCGGGTCCATTATTTTCGTCTCCCCCCCTCCTCTTCCGAACATAGATGGACTCGTCCATCTGAATATACTGTCAAATCGCTCTCCGTGGTGCTAACGTAAAAAAAAACCCGCCACTTTTTTCAAATTTTCTTGCTGTGGTTTTCACACCTGATGATGATGATTGCTTGTGTTGCAGTCGAAACGTCGTGAGAATTCTATTGTTTTATATATTTTTTATTTTATTGTTTCCCTTCTACGTGACTTTACCGAAAGAACTAAGAATATGAATCCCAGCAGTCACGAAAGCTTTGAATCAAAATTTAAGAGTTGTAGACTGCACTTTTCACCATGGGGCCGTGGTGATAATAACATTTGTACATGTTTGCTGCTGACCGGTTTTCAATTGGGCGTATGAATAGTCAATTTACTAGCAGCTACGTGTATATATTATTTTCTGCACAGCTTGCTGTAGGGAGCCGCCGTGGTATAATGATGAGCAAACTGAACACGCATTCCGGAACTCACCGTGTCGATTCCATCTCCAGGCGCGGCAAGCAAAATCAGCCCCGCCGCGCATCCACAGGCTTGTCCACTCGGCACTATCAATGGATAACACCATGAAAGTTATCATATGGTGGGGCAAAGTGTGGGTACTTACCACCTCTGAGAATGTCCTGCCAGTGTTTTGAGTTTACTTTATTACAGTGTGGAAGTGGAGGCCAAAGCGTAGCTCATTGAGGTGAGGTGGGGGGGGGCCTCTTCAGTTCAGTTTCAGTTTATTTATTTTTGGTATAGCCCTGTGAGCCATTCGGCTCTTGAATCGGGTGCAACCACAACAAACCAAAAAACAAAAACACGAACAGTCTAATGAGACAACGCTCACGAATCGGAATCAGATTATGTATTTATACTGGAGGAATGCGATGAGTTATAAAGCTCCTTTTCACAAATGTCCAGTAGGGGCACGGGGTCAGGATAATAACGGTAGGAGTGCAAAGTATAGCAAAGGTCATAATAGGGGTTTCCCCCTTTTTTCTGGCAACAAAACTGAAACCTTTTTACAAAGGATTCATGTCTGCGTTAACCACAATACCTGCAGTCAAAATGCAAACGCCTTTTGGCGTCCTCTGGTCGAGCACCAATGGGTCGAGGCTCAAAAGAAAGCCGTCCCTTGGTGTGGACCAATCAGTTTCAAGGACAATATATTATCATAGTATGTTTTTTGTTTGCATTTTGACTGCATGTATTGTGGTTAATGCAGACATGAATCCGTGTAAAAAGGTTTCAGTTTTGTTGCCAGAAAAAAGGGGAAAAACCCTATTATTACATTTTGGTACTGGCAAAGGAGGTCTAATGATGTAGCAAAGGTCATCAAATCACTTAAAAATATACACGCTAATAAAAACATCAATGACCAAAGCGATGCGGAAAACGAGATCAGTTCGTGCGCCAGGAGTGAGATGGTTCCTGGCATTGCATCAGTGGCTCACGAATGCCAGGACTGCCGATGAGACACCGAAATTCCGAAACCGGTCAAGCATGTGCTTGTTGAACCAGGAGTGACCGATATGCAAAACAATCATTCCGAGCGCGATGACGTCACGACGCACGAGTAAAGTCGGTGTGGTGACGCAACCACGCACGGAGAGTGACGTCGTTACGCGGTGGTCCACACGCCGATCACACGTGGAGTCGCGGAGCCCGGACCCCGGCCTCGTGGGGGGCGGCGTCTCTTACCAAGCTCTGCCGGGGACCTCTCATCGAATGCAGTAGGGTCGCTAGGTAAGACCGAGGCTCCACTGTTCGGTCTCGCGTGGTCACTTTATACAAAACATCGCGTCTTTTGTTTGTTTTCGAGTGGGAACGTGTACGTGATGGAAGAATAAAACATGTTGTATGCATTATGTGTCTTTGTGTTTTGGCAATAAAATAACAGACACGTAACGCGAAACTGAAGGCCACGTGAGGCTGTACAGTACACCGGCTTTAAGCAGAATAGGCGATCTCTTGCTGAATGAACTCGTCTCGTCGCTTAACTTTAATACAACGTTTGTAACCAGCTTCAAACCTGAAGAAATATCATTCTGCGTAATCGAGCCTTAAATTTGAGAGAAAATCAATACATCTGCCTTGTGCAAGTGGTTGTATCGATAGTGCCACTGTACTATCGTACTGTACTGTATTTAAAACTTTTAACTAAGCCGTTGTTTTACACAGCAAATCAAAAAGTCAAACATTTCCATGTCCGATAGGAGTCCAAGAAGGTAGAGCGATTTTGAGCCAACGGTGGAAGTTCCACATTATCATGGCGGTGACCAGTATATCCCGGAGTACGTGGTAGTAGTAGTACTTCGCCAATTTAGGTAAGCTGCAATGTGCAATTGGGAGCACCACATTTATGCTTTGTCCGCCTTCACAATCTCGCATTGACCGGCGAGGTGAAGTATGGCCAAATAACCTCAAAAGACCTGCGCGGATATGATGAGGTCCTCATCCAGCATTGGACTGAAAAAGGGGCATGTTGTGTGCACACCCATCTCGTGTTATGTTTGAAGTTTTAAACAAACTGTGTGATTCCACTGGCATCATCTCGCAGGTGATCGAGAGTGCCTGCTGCTATCAATGGTACAGGTGCAGATGCCCAGGTTAGGCCTGAGGTCAAATGCAATTGTGCAATTCGTAATGAATTGCGTAATTGCACAATCAATGTGTGATTGTAAATGTAATTTACATTGCCTTTGTAATTCTAATAATAATTGACCCCAGGTCTGCTCACAGATGACTGCCGTGGTTGTTTATGAATGTTGCAAATGCGAAGCTTGCTCAGAATCCATCTTCTTTGGTTCTTTCGGTAAAGTCACGTAGAATGAGAATAAAATAATAAAATAACACAATTAAATTCTCACGACGTTTCGGCCACAACGCAAGCGGCCGTCTTCAGGTGAACGGAACAGACCTGTCGGGACGAACGAGCTTCAATGAACGATGTTAAGATTCGTAGCGACTTTTTAAGCTGGTTGGGAGAAGTGAGGCACCTTGACAAAGGGGTTTACATATCAAATAGCTGAGGGATTAGCTTGTGACTGGACACAGAAATGGCTATGTTAAAGTCAAAACCTACACATCCACAGAGGCAACTAGTAATTTAGCATTGAAATAGCTAAGGGTTTAGCTTGTGCAAATAGTTGAGGGATTAGCTTGTGACTGGTCACAGAAATGGCTATGTTAAAGTCAAAACCTACACATCCACAGAGGCAATTAGTAATTTAGCATTGAAATAGCTAAGGGATTAGCTTGTGACTGTTCCTTTCACCTGAAGACGGCAGCTTGCGTTGTGGTCGAAACGTTGTGAGAATTTTATTGTGTTATTTTATTATTGTATTCTCATTCTACGTGACTTTACCGAAAGAACCAAAGAAGATGAATCCTTGCAGTCACGAAAGCTTTAAATCGAAGCTTGCTCAGAATGTTACCGGTTCATATTTGTTTTGTATTTGTTTTGTGTTCAGAATAGCCGCCATGGGTTCCTTTCGTCCAACTCGCATTCAGAGCATCCCCCAACTTGGTGAGAAAATAAGCAACGAGACCCTCTACTGGAAGGCTTATCGGGTGAGTTACCATTCATCATGATCATCGTCAGCCAGGATGAATCCACTGCTGAATGAAGACCTCCATATTCCGTCTCCATCTCTCAGTTTTGCGAAGGAGAACTCCACCGAGTTCCTGCACACCAGCTGATTTCATTGCTCTATCTCAGGGGTCACCAAACTACGGCCCGCGGGCCGAACCCGGCCCGCGACGTCAGTCCATCAGGCCCGCCGACGGTACTTGAATTTGGTTGATGAAACGTATGGAACACGAGACGTTGTGATACAATTTAAATATTATGTTTAAAATACTAGGAGATCTTCACGCGTTCGGAGACTTCCTGACTACTATGTTCCTTAAATTTACTATTTTAAATTATTGTATCTAGATTTTCTTGTTTATTGTAATGTTTGTTTATTTTGCGCCATCCCAATTACTTCCCCGGCTCGTGGTAGCTCCGCCTATGCTCTGACGTTACCATGGTTTCCATGGCAACGTCATGGCAACACGTTACCATGGTTTCCATGGCAACACACACAAACACGCATCTTTCCCGCCCCAAGATTTTCCAGCTGTCAACACAGGTTCCGACGCTCCAGAAATATTTATTTATTATGCGGCCCGCGCTCGTCATTCTTTCAGTTATCCGGCCCACTGTCAAAAAAGTTTGGTGACCCCTGCTCTATCTCAATGGAAATTGTAGGGCTGTACCTTTATCTTTTTTAGAATGAGAATTTGTATTTATACTGGAGGAATGCGATGAGCTATAAAGCTCTTTTTCACAGATGTCCAGGACAGATCTGAATTGTTGCGGTCTGCCGCCTCGCTCGCAAAGAGCCGGCCGCCACCCTGTTTTCCCTCGCGTTGATACAGATTCGCCGTGCGAATCCTTGTTGTGTATCTCTGCGACGCCCTTGCCTCGTTCATAACGGTGCACCTCGCCGCCGCCATGTCGTCCTCGTACAGAGTCCGGTTCAGATCAACGAGTATGGCGCAGTCACGCACGTGCACTTCTCTCCGACTGCGCCGCACCACTTCGCCGTGTCCGCCTCTACCAGGGTACGCGACCTCCCTCCCCACAACACATCCCGCCACAGGCTCTCTCTCTCTCTCCTAGGATTATCAGGTTACATTATTTATCGTTGGTTTATTGCCTAATGCCCTGATATTTGTGTTGGCTTCATATTCTGTCGCTGTATACCATTTACTTTATAACGCCAGTGTACTTTTGTGGGCCAGGTCTTACTTAAAAAAAAGATACTTTTAGTCTCGGCACTGTCTCGCTTGACTCAAATAAAGAATTAATTGATGCTGTGCACGTGTACCACTCGGCCTTACTTAGATGAATTAAAAGGATGTTAAGTTAATTGCTCGACAGATTTTGTGTGTCGCGCACACGGCAGGTACACGTGTGTGTGTATAACATTATCAGAGCATGTTTGCGTGCATGTTCACCACAAGTACGTGTTGTTAATGTGAACTTGATTCCTTGCAAAAGGTTTCTCTCCGGTGTTTGCACATCTTAACACCGGTTTTATTGCCACAAAGGGCTGAAAACCTGTTCATATTTTTTCATGTATAACACCGTCTCGCCTGCCTTTCGTGAAGGATCGCCGATTGACGGTTTGATTCTGCGTGGCCTGCCCCGGTCTCCAGGTGCACGTGTACGCGGCCCACTCCGCCGAGCCTCAGCGCACGTTCACGCGGTTCCGCGACGTGGCCTTCGGCGCGACGTTCCGCGCCGACGGGCGCCTGCTGGTGGCCGGCAGCGAGGAGGGGGTGGTGCGAGTGTTCGAGGCGCATGGACGGGTGCCGCTGCGCAGCTTTGATGGGCACAAGCGGTGCGTGAGTCTCGCGGCGGAGTCTCGTTGCGTACCGTATTCGTTTGTATGTTGAGCTTCTTTCACGCCGTGCATAGCGGGCCTTGTTAATCGGAGGCGCGGGGGAAGGCCAACAAACTAGCACGCGAAAAGCGGTTCTAAAGAAATTAGTTCTCAATCTAGTATAGTGGTGTAGTGTACAGTAAATTTTGATTTTAAGCTTTCGTGACTGCAGTAATTCATATTCTTAGCTCTTTCGGTAAAGTCACGTTGAAGGGAAACAATAAAATAATAAAATATATATAAAACAATAAAAATTCTCACGACGTTTCGACCATAACACAAACGGTCGTCATCAGGTGTTATGGTCGAAACGTCGTGAGAATTTTTATTTTATATATATTTTATTGTTTCCCTTCAACGTGACTTTACCGAAAGAGCTATATAGTAGCTTGTAGGTTGAACTTTTACACTGTATATAGCCAACTGTTATAATCAGGTGTGCGGAGGAAGGACAACAAAATAAAAAAAGCAGCTCTAAAGAAATGAGTTTTCAATCTAGATGTAAAAGTGCGTAGCTCCAGTGGCTTCCTAGTATCGGAAGGGGGAGCGTTTGGGACGGCCGTGGAAGCGCGCAATGCGTCGCCGTGCTCTGACCTCCGCCCCCCCCCCCCACCACCACCCTGCGGTGCGAGCAGTGCGGTTCGCGTGTCGTGCTTCATGAGCGACGGGCTGCGCGTGCTCTCGGGGTCGGACGACTGCACAGCGCGGCTCTGGGACGTGGCGACTGGCGCGCAGCTTTCGTCCTTCGCGAGCCACGGAGACTACGTGCGGTCGGCGCATGTGTGCACCCTCAACCCCAACCTCTTCATCACCGGTGTGCGCGCGGCAGCTCCTCGCGCGGACGCGACGATTTGCCCGGCTTAAGTGTTCGCGTCTGTGCACGTGTGTGTAGCCTTCCGGCGTGATGCCTGACGTTACAATGTACGTCCTTGGGAGATGGTTAAGTTCCTAAAGAACCTTCTGTTCCTGAAGAAGCTCTCAGCAGCACGTGGAACGAAATGTCAGACATCGTGCCGAAAATGCATCGGTGTTTTTTAAAATATTTTTTTCCTTAATGCCTAAAAAAAATCTTGTCATTTTTTTTTTCCCAGTTTCATCCTGATTGTCCTAACGTGCATCATATGAAATTAAATACCTATTAGGACTTCTCGCAAATCAGTACAAACGTCCTGTATATTAGGTAATGACCCCCAAAAGCGGATATCACAGATCTTTTTCAGGTATCGTTGCAAGTGATCTTGGGTCAACACAGTAGGGGCCAGCGCTTTCCCACCCACCCTACCATATGAGAGCAATGGCCATCACTTGAAAGTCAAGATGGTATAATTAATTCTCAGAGCTGGATTTTAGCCAATGGAGTCGAGAACCAAATTGAATGTATGTGTTAGGTGACCGGGCCAAGACGAATGACTCGCTACACTGGACAACCTGGTTTAATCATGGGTGGCTGAAAGCTGATGTTGATCCCCGGATCGCAGTGTTGCTGGATCAGTGCTCTTTCCAACGGCTTTATCCCCCTGAGCTACCCACCTATCCACCCACCTCCTACACTTACATTAATATAAATGTGTACTTTGTCGCTGATTCGACAATATTTTCGTAATCGGAGTCACATTTAGGCCACGTGTGGTTACCCTTGCCTGCGACCCAGTTGCTTGACCGGCGATTACTAATTCACGTAAGTATATATTTTATTTGTGAGACTCCCAAACCAGTTGGGTTGCGAGCAGACTAGAAATACAGCAGTGCACCAAGGGCTGTTGCTCACATTGTGAACTCAACCTTGATGCCCCGGTGTTGCTCGCTCCGGCAGGCTCGTACGATCACATGGTGCGGGTGTTCGACGTGCGGCAGCCGGACGCGGTGCTGACGCTGGACCACGGCTTCCCTGTCGAGAGCGTGCTCGCCTTCCCCTCTGAGGGGCTCTACGCGTCGGCCGGCACGTGCTCCCGCGCACATCGCACCATCGTCATTGTCGTTATATAATCGCCGTCATTGTCGTATCCCCCCTCCTCCAACACCAACGTACATCACCGTGATCGTCGTCACAGACCACGCCCACATTAGTCGTCGTGATAGCAGCACCCGCTCAGCATTATCATCGTCATCAGCATTGTACCCCCACACGCACATCATTGTTATTATCATCGTCGTGCTTGCACGTCATTATTCTGATTCATTCAAGAACGCAAATACACAACGCAGACATCCAAGAGGCAAACACAGGTCACGAGCCACGTAAAAGTCCGGAGTAACATACCCTCAAGCCTGCAGTCATTGTCATAATTCCTGTGCTTCCGTGTGTCGCACGACAGCGCGTGAGCGTCGCGTGTAACGGCGCTTGACCGTATCGTTGCGTGGTGCTGTCCGTGGACGCAGGCGGTCGGCTGGTGAAAGTGTGGGACGCCGTGCGTGGAGGGCACCTCCTCGCCTGCCTGCGGCACCACCACAAGACTGTGACAGCGCTCACCCTCAACGGCGCCGGCGACCGGCTGCTCACCGCCTCGCTCGACAGGTCGCCCCTCTGCCCGTGAACCCACGACCCCTCACGCTGAGCCACACGGCGATTGCACATCCCATGACGTTCGGCCTTCAATACCTTGACCACTTGGGAGACAAAGGCCGGCCCGGGCATTGTGCTAACCACACCACCCCCCTCGTGTGCCGTGCAGGCCTTACTGGGTGCTTGTTAACAGCGCTTGCCCCCCCTATTCTCTGTGAAGGCTATACGGGGACCGTTGTCTTTGTGGCGAGCAGGCACGTGAAGGTGTTGAGCACGACCACGTTCAAGCCGGTTCACAGCTTCGACTACCCGGCTGCCATCCTCAGCCTCGGCATCTCTGTGAGTGGCCCCCATACCGCATCGGACTCAATAGACACTCGCTAACAACACTGAAGTGCAACAAAACATTGACTCGTTGTTGTGAGTCTTTATGTGTGCGTGCCTGTGGGTGTGGGTGCGGAGTGGTCGTGTAATGGATAGCGCTCTGCTCGAGTATACATACACAGACACTTGCCCCAATAGTCTGTGAGGGCTATACAGGGGGCTCTTTGTATACTTGAGTGTATGTACGTATGTTGATCTTCTTTTGCACAGTATGTAGCCAACCGTGGCTGAATGTACGTGTTTGAACCCAGCCTGTGGTGATGTCGCTATCCCTTCAGTGATGAAAGATGGCTGCTGTCGTTGTTGTTCGAATGTGTCTTTGTCTTTTTGGGTTTCCTTGCTCACCCCAGCCGGATGACCAGACGCTGGTGGCTGGGATGACCAATGGGCTTTTGAGCGTTCGGAACCGCAAGACGGAGGAGCGCCAAAAGCCGGAGCCTCGCCGCCGACGCGGCGCCACCTACCGCTACTACGTCCGCGGAAAGGACTACCTGCCCAAGAAGGTACGGCGCCCCGCAACGCGACGGCGCGTGCCAGGCTAGGTACACTTTGGTCACAAATGGTGAAGGTCTCTCGTGCAGGTGGTCGGTCAGATGACGTAATTGCATGTCTGGCACCACCAAAATTCCTTGTCTCCAAAGTCTGGATGAACCAAAATACCGCTTCTATACTTCTCACCCGTCCCCATAAATGAAACCACGTCATCCCGCTACTCCAATTTCCTTCACCAGCTCCCAGTCCAATCCCAGATTAATGTCAAGTTCCTCTATGGACTGCCTACATCTCTCCTCTCATCTCACTGTGCCCCCCCCCACCCACCCCCACCTCACTACAAGCACTCTGCTTCAGCAACCAAGGCCTTTAACTTAAGTTTATTTTTCACGGTAAAAACAAATTAGATGAAAAAACAAGTTTTCAATGCACACACTTTTATTTTCACTCAAAAGTAGAAAGTAAATTATTTTAACCCCAGAATTAATAAAATTTGATGTGGCGAATAAAAGTTGGTGGTTTCCTTTCTATGTTTACTTGCCTTATGCAAGCCACCCCACCCACTTTTATTCAGCAGATTAAAATTGATTAATTCTGGGGGGTCACAAGAATGTATTTTCTACTTTTGAGTGCAAATAATAAAGTGTGTGCATTGAAAAAACTTGTTTATTACCAATTTTTTCCCTTGCACATGACCAGACCCCAGGAGTCTTTGCGAGCTACACCTGGCCGTGGGGTTATCAGTTGAAGAACCCTGTTGAGGATAGCACCGCTCGTGAGCACGTAATTTAAGCCGACACAGCACACGAGGGGGGGGTGGATTGGCTATTACCACGCCCGGCAGCATCTGTCTCCCCAGTGCTGATGTTTTACACACCGTTGCGGGGTACTCGCATTGAATCAGCTTGGGGAGGGAGGCCCAGATTTCCACGACCGGTTAAGTCCTTTGTCACCAATGATGTCCGCGAACGGGGAATCGAACTCTGGCTGCTGGGTCCGTGGCGCTATGCGCTCCCGCGCGCACAATACGCGTACACACGCACGTGCCCTGCTGTTCACGTGTGATGGGGCCCGGGTGGGGAGGGTTGAATAAGAAAAATATATTAACATCGTTGCTGCTGTCACTTGATGTGTCGTTTGGTTTTGTCGTTTTGGTGACCTCGGCTCACTCTTGCCGACAAGAGGCTCTGCCCTGGTCTCTTTGAGGTCTCTCTCCCTGGTCAAAAGCCTATCGAACTTAAACGAGAAGTGCGCGCGTTTTGCGAGCGAGAGTGCCGTGCGTCCGCCCGGTTTTTCCTGCAGGGCGATGTCAAGGTGAGCTTCCAGGCGCGGACTAAACAGCAGACGTACGACAAGCTGCTCAGGACCTTCCAGCACTCGCGCGCCCTGGACGCCGTGCTCGAGGTACCAGTGTACACCTACACGCACACACCTTTGCATCTGCACGCACACCTGTGGACCTGTACGCATTGACCTCGCACCTGCACACACAAACCTCTACACCTGCGTGCACACCCCCCAGCCCCCCCCTCCGCACCACCACCACCACCAGGCAAGGCAAGAGTCCTGGACAGGGTAACAACTAAGCCAGGGCTTCAGGTGCAAGGGGAGGGGAGAAGGGGGCCACACAAATGGGTTCACAAACCCCCCCCCCCCGTGTCCTCTACTTGCATTATCTGGCCACCTCGCAGGCCAGTTGCTTTCGGAACTTCACAAACGTCTTCCAACGCACTGTTGGAAATAGATACAGGCATCGTGGTCGGAAAATTTGTACACGAATATTCTCAGGTTGCAGGCTGGTGCAGAGTCGCACCTTGTGCCGCACCGGGACCAACTACCATCAGAGTGGTGGGGTGGGGGGGGTTCCCTAGGCTGAAGAAAATGTGACTGGAGATGATATTATTATTATTATGACCGACCCTTGCCTCCCGAGGCGGCAGACTGCAAGCCGCGGCTCCCCCGCGTCAATCCCTCCTGTCCCCCCCCTACGCTCACGCCCCCCACGCCCCCCCCCCCCGCCGTTCGCGTCTCTTTACTTCGCCGCCACCAGGCCCAGGTGGCGTCGCGACACCCCCAGGTGACGGTGAGCGTGATGGCGGAGCTGGCGCGCAGGCAGGCGTTGCAGAGCGCCATCGCCGGGCGCGACGAGCAGCAACTGCTGGTTCTGCTCGCGTTCCTGCTGCGGTGAGGTCGCACGCTCGGGCACGCACACACGGGCGTGCTACAAACAAGGACAAAGATCCCCCGTGTAGCCTTAACAGACTGTTTGGGCAAGTGCTGTTAGCGAGCACCGATGAAGGCCGGCGCACGGCACACGAAGGGGGCGAGTCGCCAACACCACGCCCGGCCGCCTTTGTCTCCCCCAGTGGCGATGTTTACGCCGCACCAGGTACTCATTTGAGGCTGAGTCGACCTAGGGGAGGCCCAGGACCGGTTCAGATTATTATCACTGGTGTTGGCCGTGAGCGAGAATCGAACTTGGGTCACCAGGTTAATAACATAGCACGCTAACCACTACCCTATCGCTCCCAACGCGTTCTACACACACACAAACTTACACGTTTAAGTGTACAACAACAATAGCCGCCACTCGCCACTAACTGGTGGTGATGTCACCGGACAGTTTGTGCCGGGTTAGGTGCACTTTGAGACGGCGTGACGTGCCAAAGGCTCGCTGACAAAGAGGTCACGGGACAGACCCGGGTGTTGTGGGTTACCTGCCTGATACGACTGACAGATGCGCACCACCTGTGCTGCCAACTATGAGCGTACACACACAGTCAAACATGCTCACTTTCAACAAATACAAAGACAAAGATCCCCCGCGTAGCCTTAACAGACTATTGGGGCAATACACCAATACCCGCCATTCACCACTAAGTGAAGGTGAAGTCACCACGGCGCCTGTACCAGGCCACGTGAAGTGTCGAAGGCTCGCTGACGAGGTCTCGGGACAGACCCAGGTGCCATGGGTTGGCTGACTGAGATGACTCATCGATTCACCAGCTGTAACCCAGCGTTGTGCCAGCTTGCCGAATTTTATCTGCCCGGTGCTCCGCTCGTTGTTGTGAGTGTCGCTCCTCTTCTCTACCCTCCCGTTGTTGCTGGAGTGCGACTGCCTCCAACTGCCCAGTAGCCTCCTTCAATTCACACACACATGCATACAAACGCGCACGGATGAAAGAATAACACCTCTACGGAGCAAGTCCTACTGTGCTAATCGCTGTCGTTATGGCTCAAATTTGCCAACTTGCTAAAAATGTACATAGCAATCAGCGCCCCCCGCCCCTCCCCCACACTGCAAAACATATGGCACGACCCTACTTGCGAAGGGTCACGTGACTCGTGATGCTTTCCTGTGGTAAACAAGCGGGGTGACGGTAACAATAACATCCGGCTTCTACTCTAATAGGGGGCTGCTGGGGCTGGCGACTGTAGGGGGCAGTGCAGCCCACGTGACTGCGACGTTGGCTTTGTCCTTCCGGTTGGGGGGTGGGGGGTGGGGGTCGAAGCGTCTGCGTGTTCTTTCCATACACGCGTGCGTGGAAGAAACAAGACTCAGCGACCAGCTGGCTCGGAGGTCAGGGACGCCAAGCTGGTTACCATTAAGGTCCCCGGGTTGGATTCGAATGTTTCCCTCCCCTGCTTACCGCAGACAAAGGTGCCTTAAGCGTCTTATGTTCATAGGCACCTCTCGATGTTAATTAATCCACGCGACCCCCGGGGGAGAGCACGCAAACTCCCAAGTGTCTTAAGTTAATAGACACCTTTCTATGTCATTAGATACCTGGTCTATGGACATCGGTGTCCAGCCCAAGCTGGTTGGCAGTGAGGGCAAAATTACAGAGATAGTTACACAGCTAGATGACTTAAACAATCGCATGTAAGGTCGACCGTACCGGAAACTCGATCGCGTGCAAGCCCAATGGCATGTAAACCCGAACAAAACAAGAGAATCATATAGAACAAAATAACGAGAATAGAAAAATGGTATACTAAAATAGGATGAATTACACTTGCAAATTGTCTGTTGTCAAATCGCTGCCATTTGACATCAAGCATGAGTTTACGCACATTTCTCGACGGTAAATTCACTAGATTTAGATAGAACCGGGTTCTGTCGCGAAACAAGTTCAGCTTCTCGGCACAGTTACCAATTACCAAATCCATTAAATTATAGGAAATGTAGTTTTGCAAGTAAATGGGCTACATTCCCCCCTCGTCCTGTGACTTTAAAAAAACCACGGTTTCGGTTTGACCGTCGCTCACAGAAGTCTCGTAGCGGAGTGTTAGGGGGTACAAATGAGTACTTCAAGATTGTTTCATTTTTTTATCACTGTGGAAGTTTCACCAATGTGTCAACGACCGCTCGCTTGCGTTTGCGGTGCTGCTGCTGCGCTTGCAGGAACATGCTGGACCCTCGATTCTCCTCCGTCCTCACCACGGTTGCTGATGCCCTCATCGGTGAGTCCGTCTCCCCCCCCCCGTCCACCGCCGTACCTCGCCTCTCACTCCTCTCGCCTTGCACTGAAACTCACGGGAGAACCCTATGCAACGTCACTCAGATTCAGCTTCGGACACCGAAGGTCTCGAACTGTCGCGGCCTCATGTCGGTTCTCTGCTGCCGCCCCCTCGGTGTGGAACTCCCTGTGTATCCCTTTGCACATCCGCAACATCGAATGCACTGCTGACTTTGAAGAAACATCTAAAGGCCTCTGTCTGTTCGGTCAGGATTTCGAGCACTCCTGAGCTTGGCTCCGCACCTCTGAGTTGTTGACTTGTCTGCAATATTTGGCACGTTAATTAATATCATCATTATTAACGGGTGTGTTAAAAACTAGAGTTTCAAGTTTATTTCATTGTTTAAGCAGGTGAGAGCTCTGGAGACCACGGGATGGGTCTCATTTGCACCAGTGACCCGAGCCACAAAAATTACAAAGAGCGGTGATGTAAAACCAATATGCTGCCATGAAGCAAACAAGATATCGGAGACAAAAACACAGGCAAAGATAAATCAAAAAGCAAAAACAGCCGCTGCACAGAAGAAGTAAAAACTCAGCGAACATAAACAAAAATATTAAAGGCAACAGTTAGCGATGACACACTGGCACAATTAACACACGCTGTGAAGAAGAGCCGTAGCCTGAAACGCCACCAATCGCATCGATATTTTTTTTTTGCATTTAAGGCCGCGAGCGTTATTGACGAGTGCGAGTTCTTTGATGAATCAACATTGTACGATCTAATAGCTCGTAAGACCCACGAGGCAGGCAGGGAGACGTCGTCGTCGTCGTCCTCGTCCCCCACCCCCGTCGCGCAGTGGATTGACGAAAGGGGGCCGTGCACTTCGTGCGTCGTGTGTGCGTCAAGCATCCCGTTTGGGCTCCTGTGCCCTCCGCGTACTTCGTGGGTACCGCGCCGCGCGTGCCAGCCGCGCCGACCTCGGTTCCATTGGTCTGGGCGGCGTCGTCTGGTACTGGTGAATCCCCCCCCCCCCCCCGTGCGTTTTCTGAAGCGCATTCCCTGTGGTTGTAATGACGTGTGAGAAGTCGCATACCGAAGCCGCAGGCTTCCGTATCCGGCAAGTGTGTTTGGTCTGCGGCGAAATGAGACGACCTGCGCCCGTTAACCCTTGCTCGGCTGGGCGTGCGGTCAGACACGGAGCGCGTTTTTTTTGAGTCCGCGAAGTCGGCCACAAGTCGAGAAGAATTACGTCGTGCAAATGTGGAAATGAAACCCTTGGTCGTCATCGTCGTCGGCCGTGATGAATCTACTGCTGGATGAAGGCCTCCCTATGCCGTCTCCCCCCCCCCCCACCCTCCAGCTCTCGCAGTCCTGCGATATAACACCCGATTTGATTACTCCGTCTCCGCAGTGACGTCGTCTCGGCCGTAATCCCTTCAAACAATGTGTCCCGCTGAAGCCCACTTTCATTATTGTTGTTGTCGCTATGCTTGTTTACCCTCCTTACAAAGCCCATTATGATCTTTAGTCGCGTGTACGGGTGAACTGCAGAAAATGTTTTAGTGAGGCTTTAACAAAGACGAATGCAACGTTGCGCTTGCGGTGATAAACGCGAGTAAAGCAAACAGAAATTGTCCTCCCGCGCCGCCCGCAGACATCTACGGCTCGACGCTGCACAAGTCGCGGGCCGTGGCGCAGCGCTTCGAGAAGCTGGCGGAGCTCATCGAGCGCGAGGTCTCCTTCCAGCAGGAGCTGCTCGCCGCCATGGGCATGATGGACGCCCTCTTCGCGGCCAACACCGAGCGCAAGCACGCGCAGGGCGACGCGCTGCCGGCCCCGGCCCCGGCCCCGGCCGTGCCGGCCGTGCCGGCGACTCCCGCGGTCGCGACGTCGTAGCCCGACGGTCCCCGCACCCTCCCCCCCCCGCCCCCAATCCCCGTCGCGGCCCGTCACCTCCGTTAGACATGCGGCAACACTTCCAGGGATTAAGTTCAGCTGGGTCTGCGCTCTGGTTCAGCGGCCCCGGTAACTGCTTGCGAGCCCCAGCACGTCGAGTTTTCCCCGCGCTGCGTTGTCTCGAAGTGGCCGGGGCGGCAGCCGGCAGCGTTGTTCGCCGCTGGTTGCGGAGGTTCGCGGTTCGGAACACATCGGCGGCCCCGGTTCACCACACTGCGAGTGTACGAGCCGTAGCTACGCGCCGTCTGCTTTGCAGTGGGCGTTCAAGATCCCCTGATGTCATTTGGGTCGGGCCACTTGTTGCTTTGCGAGCGTGTTGTTAGCCAAAATTAGCCAAATTTAAAAAAAAGAAATTCTCGCAGAATCCTTAATTCGGTAAAACCGCGTAGCACAATCGCCCCTACCTTGCGCGACCCAGGCCAACCTGAGCCGGTGCTCGGATCAGCTTGCGCTGCGCAGGGGCCAGCTGACACTATCGCGACGGGGGTAGTTGTTGAGATGGCTAAGATGAGACGCCATGCAAGGTGCTTTGAGTTGCGGAGGCGTTTTTTTTAAGCAAGCGTCCAATGAACGCGAATCCTTTAAAGTCGCGCGCCATCTCCGGTCGAAGCAGCGGGGCCCGAAAACGATTCGGTGAGGATTTGAAGGCCCTGTACGCATCGGTTCGTCGTGGCGTCGTGGCGCGCGAGCGTCGAGTCATCGGCGCGCATGTTGTGTACCATCGGTGTCCGCCGGGAGGGGAGGGGGGTTTCCGAGACCGAGGTGCTCGGGTTCGCCATTCTTATTTCTTTGACTTATAAATGACTTGGTTTTGCACACACACGCCGCGTGAGCCGCGTGGTTTTGCATACGCGTCCCGCGCCCTCTGAGTAAGATGCTCGAAATGAAAGATCCTCTTTTACCCTCGACTTGACGCTTTCGTGACTGCAAGAATCCGTACTCTTTGGTTCTTTCGGTAAAGTCACGAGGGTAACAAAAATAAAAACAATTTTTTTTATTTTTTGTTGTTTATTTTATGTTTCTACCTACGTGACTTTACCGAAACAACCAAAGAGTATCCTCTTTTACGTTGGGATATGATGCGTGTGTTATTATTTATTTAATGCCACGCGGCTTGGTAGATTGAGCAAGAGGCCCGACAGCTTTGTGGGGTAGTTCCACAGTGGGTGGTGTTACGCATAGCCTTGCCCATGCCATAGGAATGTGTAATTTCCATCACTGCTTCAGGGCTGTAAACTTGGATCTTTTAATATTTTTCGACAATGCAGCCACACGTCCTGATGTATTTGATCCAATACAAATGAAGATCCTCTAAACGAAGACGCTCCATGTTGAATATAGAATCCTATTGGAGTCTCTTAACGTGACAAAGGCGTCCCCTGATCCATATTAGCATCATCCTCTGTCATGATTTTGATCTGCGTTATCCGCATCGCGTGGGACGTTACGTTCTTAGCAATCGTCAGGTGCGTGCAGGTTGAACAGACTCTTAAGATTGGTCAACGGAGAACGGCGTTTGACACTGGATCTGCAGATTGAGAAATCGTCGCTTCGATGAACCCAGCAGTCACGAGAGGCGCCGCATTAACCCCGGTAGCGTCGAGACGTCCGGCTATTGAATCGGGACAACCCCCGCGTCGAGTGGCGAGCGAGGCGAATCGTGGCGCCTTATCCGAACCGTAATAGTTCTACAGTGTAATAATTTTTTTTAAAAAATATATATTTTTTACTTTTGGCAGAAATCTCACGACGGCGTTGGGAGCCACGCCTTGACACCGTCGTGCGCCGCGATCGAAAGCAGCGGGCGGCGGCGACGACTATCGGTCACCTTTTAAATCGGTGACGAATATCTGAACCGGTCCTGGGCCCTTTCCTCCCCGAGCTCGACTCGGCCCCAAACGAGTATCCGGTGCTGTCTGTAAACGTCGCACCGGTTACATCGGCGAACTTCGGTGGGTGGGTGGGGGGGGAAGGGGGGGGCACCGTTTTCAATCGTGGAAATTTCACGGCCGCGACTTCCCACCGCCACCGGCTGTCTGCACGTGTGTTGGCCGTTGACTCGCCGCGGCTTTGACACCCCCCCCCCCCCCCCCCCCCCCCCCCCCCCCCCCCCCGGACATTCCGCAAGGGATACACGCGGAGTTTCGGCGAGCGGTTTTTGTTGTTGTAGAGATGGGGCAGGGCTTTCGGTGGGTTGGCCACTCTCGCTTCGCGGCGCTTGTGAAATCCTCCCGGACGCTGGAATCGGGAGGTAGCGGTGGTGTGTGGGCCCCCAACGCCGTGGCCACGGTTTCCGAACCGTTCTGTCGTGCGTTGCTCCGCGGTTTTAAAATAAAGTTTAGAACGTTCGCGAACGTATGGTGTGGTTCTGCGTTTGAATTGTATTCGGTGCACATGGTGCTGGCGCTTGTAGTCGCTGACGAATGCAGTGTCAGCTAAGCCCCGGTATCCCACTCTCTCCCCCGACCCACCCACTACCCTTCTGCTAATGAGCCAATTATCCCCCTCCCTCCCCCCTCCACTTATTATAATAACAATAATTCCCTTTGTTTATCCAGGAAAGCCTTACCGACTATGAAGATCGTTTACAGGAGGCTTCTGCATTGGAATGTTTCGCTAAATCCATTAGGTAACGTTTGGCATGTTGGCAAATGTTTGGTGCAGATGCTGCTGCCATCCTCCGGCCACCGTGCAGCCCAGCAGGTTTGGACGTTTGGCAGAGCTTCGTGATCCACCCAGCCCTCGCCTCCAAAGCACGCGAGACCACAGGCGTACGCTATCACGCTCACGAGCTGAGACAGCTGACATCGAGGTTCGGACTACGGCCTCCGGTTGCAACAATTTGTCAACCCGATCAGTCGACTTTTTTGTTGTTGTGGTCGATTACTTGAGGCCCCTTTTTAAAAAAACAGCAGCCGCCCAAAATCCTCCCGCCGAAACCTCTCACAAGCCGCGCCCATTGGGGCGTGGCTGACGGCACCGATGATGTCACAAATCCCCGCCCATCACCTCCCGTCCAGCGGCACACAACTTTAACCCCTCCCCACCCACCCCTCTCCGGCCACGCAGTCCCGATTTCTCGAGCAAAGGAACCGATAATATAATCTGTGGGGTTGATCGGTCACTGAACGTAGTTGGACGTGCTCGGCTCGAGAGCGCAAATGCCACGTGGGGTCTGCAGTCTGTCGAGCGCCCAAGTGACGTCACAGGAGACCGCGCGTTGGTGGGCGAACGGAGCGTCGGCAGGCGGCTGTGCGAGATGCTGAAGTTCTGCGTCGTGTGTTTGTGTAAGGGCGTTGGGTGATGAGAGTATGGGAGCGATGGTGGTAGCGGGTTCGATTCCCGCTCGCGGCCAATAACAGTAACGATGATCTGAACCGGTGCTGGGCCTCCCCTAGGTCGACTCGGCCTCAAACTAGTACGGTACCGTTGTGTGTAAACATCGCCACTGGAGAGACAAAGGCGGCCGGGCGTGGTGCTGGCCACCCATCCCGTCGTGTGCCGTGCCGGCCTTCATAGGTGCTCGTTAACAGCACTTGCCCCAACAGTCTGTTACAGGCTACACGGGGGATCTTTGTCTTTTTATTATTACACGCTTTTATTTAACTCGCTGTCTGTTGCATCCTCAAATCTTGTAACTCAATTTTAACCCACTTTCCAATGTGGTATCGACTGCAAACTTGGAATACTTATGTCATACTGATGACAATACTATATTCTATCATAAAAATAAAATATTTTAAAAAACTTTTTTTATATGTTATGTTTCGTCTTGGGTCTAATTGTCCACGCTCAACTGACGTTGGCTGTAAATCACCACGGGTCCCCTTACGTTATGGCAAGCTTCGGGGCCACTTCTTGGAGTCGTGGAGTTTTGCCATTACTAGTACGGTACATTTCATTAAAGCGTGTTTTTTTTTTAAAGTATTTTTAAATATTACTTATTTTGTGTAGTGTGTGTGTGTGAGATGGGAGTGGTGGGCTCGCCACATGCAACGATCTCAGCCACCCCCGCAGCTACCCAACCCAAATCCCGACCGACCGATCCCCCCACTCCAGGGATTGTCAGTGGCCTGTTCCATTTCCCGGCAGGGGGGGGGGGTGTGTCGGCTGCACGCATGCGGATCGTGCGTATGTGTGTGTGTTCGTCCTGTGATGTGTTTCGTACGTTTGTGTGTTTACAAAGACAAAGATCCCCCTTATAGGCTTAACAGACTGTAGGGGCAAGCGCTGCTAGCGAGCACCTCTAAAGGCCGGCAGGGCACACGAGGGGTGGTGGGTGGCCAACACCACGCCCGGCCGCCTTTGTCTCCCTAGCGGCGATGTTTACACATCGCACCCCGGGTACTTGTTTGAGACTGAGTAGACCTAGGGGAGGCCCTGGACCGGTTCAGCTAATCGTCACTGGGTGTTGGCCACTAGGGAGACAAAGACAGCCGGGGTGTGGTGTTGGCCACCCCACCCCTTCGTGTGCCGTTCCGGCCTTCATAGGTGCTCGCTAACAGCGCTCGTTAACGCAGACACAAAGTTTTTTTGTGTGTACACGGTGCGTATACAAAACCACGCAGTTCCGTGGCCTTCATTCGCGAAGAAGAAGACCTGGCAAAAGTTTAAAAAAAACTCGCGCAGAATACACATTGCGTGTCTATATATACACGGTAGGCAAGCCGCGCGTGCCAGTTTGTATGCCCACGGCTATGCTGGGCGGGACGGCCTTCCGCGAGAGGGCATTTGGTGTACCCCGCTGGGAGTGCACACGCTTTACCCCACCGTCTCAGCGAGCACTCGAAATTATTTAAAAAGTTAAAGGTCCGCCCCTGAAATTGCTTTCTCACGCCACTGCTGGTGGACAGATTCCACGATACGGTGCTCTATAAATAGCCCCCCCAGCAGATGGTATTTGGCCTACTCTTCCACCCTGGCCTAACACCATGGACGATGTGGGTGTACCCCAACACCTGACCACACCCAAGCCTCTCGTGTACCGTGCCGGCCTTTCATAGATAGGTGCTCGCTTTCAGAACTTGGTGATTTCGAAAAGTTTTTTTTTGGTTTGGCCATGTTTTTGTTTATTGTAGTACGGAGTTAGACTGATGGCCTAAATCTTAGTTGTCTTGTGGTTGTTGTTGTTTGACTTGCATCCCACTGGGATTTTTGCACACAGCGTTGGTGTACGGTGCTATTTCAGGAATATTTTGATGTTTTTTTCCTGGATTTTCTGTTTGCACAGTCACATAGTCACTTTAAGATGTTTTCTTGTTCATGTTTTTTGTTTGTTGCGGTTGCACCCGATTCAAGAGCCGAATGGCTCACAGGGCTATACCAAATAAATTGAACTATGAACTTGCCCCAACAGTCCGTTCAGGCTATACGGGCGGGGTATCATTGTCCTCGTAACATTGAGCATGTGTGCGTGTACGCCTTGTGTGGTTATCTCTTACATTATCGTAGCACGCGCTTCCTTTTAATGCGTTCCTGTTTCTGAGATGAACTCATTTCCCTCCAATGACCCTCCTTCATCGCGATGTCCGTTCAAACGCCATATCGGTCCTTTGGGTTATCCACCCCAAAGTCAAGTTCCACCCGCTAAAGCTCTCTCTCTCTCTGTCCAGGCAACGTGGTCACCAACCACACTGCCGCTGCTCGGATGCCTGTTCCGCCAATGTTATTATTGTTTACGTGACACCATAAAACAGATTTAGCCTCGCTTCGCGCCCATTACCAACATAGCACGTGGGCGCGCGACCCGGTGGAGGAATGGCCAAACACCATTATTCAGTTCTACAATCGCTCGTTTCGGACTAGCCATGGAACGCCGCAATAAACGTAGCGAGGAAGGCGAGTGGTTTGCTCCGGCCGCGTCTCGGAAAAAAAAAACCTCACGAGTTTTTTTTGGTGGCAAACGGAATGAGACTCCCCGATGGAAAATCGTGGTCCGTGATGCCGCCCCCGCTAGCTGCTGCTGGGATGAGGTGGGGTGGGTGGGGTGGGACGGACCCAAGGCTGGGGCGGGGAGGGCATTTTCAATTCTCCCCTCCGCGTGGCACTCAAGTTGGGGCTCATGAGGGACCAGGGGGATTTTCGCGAGAGGGGGGAAGGGAGGACACGCGGCTCGCAAAGGAAGGGAGTCGGGGTTTGGAGGGGGAGGTTCGGGGCTGGACCAGACCGTCTGGTCTGTTTGTGGTGTGCCGGCGTTCGGGTGGGTGGATGTAAGGGGGGGGGGAGCGTGGGGTAAGGCTCGCGGTGCAGGGTAGGTGTTAAAGGGCGTGGTGTTCCGCGCGTGGGCTGTTTTCTTTTCGGGAAATTTTCCGACATTCGTGCTTCTTTTTCTTTCGTTGCTTCCCTATTCTCGCTCGGGGCTTTTGGTCGTCGCAGCGGCTACGTGGAGGAGGAGGAGGCGGCGGCGGCGGTGGCCAGCCACACGGATGGAGCTGCAAACGTCGGGGACCGCAGTCTGCTCCAAACCCCCGCAAACCTTTGGATTCTCTCGTCATGAACTCGAGCTGAAGATGTCCAACTTTTCCGCAGGTTACTGCTAAGCTAACTCGTCGAGTACGTGTACGCGCGTGCGTGTGCGCTATGATTCATGGGTAGCGCGAAGTGGTGTGAGCCTGGTGTAGGTGTCCTTTGGCAGTGATTCTGATATCACACTCTCAAGCTCTTTGACCACATATGCTAGCCGAGCGTCATCATCTTTCCATCCCCTTCTAGTAAAAAAACATTCCCCACCCGTGACCTCGTCTGTTCCTCCACCCCCCCCCAACCTTCCTCTTTTCTGCCCTTGCCTTTAACTCACCGCTGCCGCTTGCAGGAAGCAAGTAACTCTCTTCTCGTCCCCCCCCCACCCCCGTTTGCATTTTTATTAATTTCACAAATCATCATCGCGCCACGTGCGCAACTTTTTCACGTGCCGCGGACTCTTCACAAATACGGCACCACGAGGCTCCGACGCGCTCTTGTGCTGCCCTACTGGCCCGGGCGTGCCTGGGCTTCGCTCTACCTGCGAAGGCAAAGAGACAGAGAGAGAGAGAAAGGGAGGGGGGTGGTGGTATATTTCCACGCAGCCTCCTGGTCGCAAGACCCCTTTATTATTTGTCTTCATTGCGACCGTCTGGACACCAACCCCCCGCCGTGGAGACCCCGAATCCCTGCTTTGCCCCGTGTCTGGCGCTCGGAGCCGGGGTGACGATGTACGAGCGAGGAGGGAGAAGGAGTTACCGCGTGTGTCCCTGCGAAGATGACATCGCAGCTCAGGACGGCGTCACCCTCACCAAGGTGAGAAGTTCGGGCGGAGGGTGATGGACGGAACCCTCCCTTTGAATGCCTTCACCACCCCCGGCCGTCGCGCGAAATAATTG